CCAGCCATGCTGTGGTAGGCGTCCCACATATAAAGCAGAGGAAGATGGGCACGAATGCTAGCTCAGGGCGAATCTTCCTCAAAAAAAAAACAGTAAACATTACTCCTCCAGCTGTGCAACGACAGTGGCTGAGCAGAGTGGCAGCTTGGCACTCACACAAGAAAGGCAATGGAGTGCCTGAGAAGTCTGGTTACATGAGGGAAGGTGACAAACAGGTAAACAGACTGAGCAGAATGGGCGCCAACTTTCTCACTGTCCCAGAAAGGGGTCAGAAACGTGGAAGGGAAAAGCTGGGGTGACCCTTGTGTCGAAGGTCTGGGTGTGAACTCCGGGGTCTGGCATCTATACTGAGACAGAAATGCAGATGTATGCATGCGCGTGTGTCTTCAGAACCGGCCTAGGAGCGGTGACTCCAGGAGCAGTAGGCACGCAGTGCCGGTTTCTAAGTACAACCTGCAGGAAAGGGAGCCAGAACTCCTTGGAGAAACGGCGAATTCCAGGGCCGGGACACAGAAAGTAGGAGAGCCTGGAATATGTTACTGTGCCAGAAAGTAAGGAAGTCGTCAAGAGTGAAACACAGAAGCCAGCTGTAAGGATGCAACCAAATGGTAAAACCTGGACAACTTGAGCATCAAAACACCGACAGTAATGATTACATACCACTGAGTAAAATGGGAATCTGAGGTCACAGATGCAAATTATAAATGGAAAAAAGAGAAGGCCAGAATACAAGCGAATGCTAATAAATGCACAAGAAATTATGTCATTTGAAAATCACCACTTGGCAACCATCTTAGTAATAATTCATTCAGGCAAGAAACATCAGTAAATACTAAAACTAATGGGCAAACTTTTGATGAGAAATAGGATATCTGCAGTCTCAAAATATCTCCATATAACACACTTACTAAAATACAAATGGACAGTCACCGTTCAGTGGAGAAGCCTGGCAGACACCACCTTCCTTGAATGACCAAAGTGAACACTACCAGTGATGGACAGGCTGACACCCTGTGCCACCTCATGGGACGCAGTGGAAAGAGCACAGCAGTTATCTCCATGGTATTTCTTCCTAAAATGCCTAACTAGAGTCTAGTCACAAGGAAACACCCAACATAAATTGAGGGACATTCTGTCAGACAGCTGTTCTGTAATCTCAAAAGAACATTAAGGTCATAAAGATCAAGGAAGGCTGTGAGAGAGTATGGACTGGAGAAGGCTGACTAAATGCAGTGTGTTGTCCTGGACTGGATCCTTCTGCTGTGGAGGACATAACTGGGACAACCGCAAAACTTAAATGGGCTGGGGGAGGGGGAGAAATGGAAGCTCTTTGTGCTGCTCTTGCAACTCAAGTTAGAACCTGTGTAAGGATGAAAACATTGTTAATGCTCTTTGCAGAAATGCAAACACGGTGGAAAAATTATAGCACCAAAGTAAAAGATAAAAAAATATTTTACCATTAAAGTAATAAATTAAATATTTTTTTCTTCAGATAATTTCCTTAGAACAGGAGACAACATAAAAATTAGTCAAAGTGTGGCCAGATAAGCAGAAGCAGGCCTAACGGACCAAAAAGAAATGTGAAAGCAACCAAAAACCAAACCACCTCAAATAGACTAAAATGCTAAACAGTTGCAAAAATCACTTCAGGTTCACAAAAAAATTCAAATCTAAGAACCCTAACCCCAGGCTGTTCTAAGGCACAGCCCCACCAGGTCTCCACTCTCATCCAATTTTTAACCAATACATTTTGAGATAATTTATCAAGTATTCTTCAAATCTGCTATTGCAAGGCAAGAAAACCCAGATTGGCTTCTATAATTTACAGGTGTACACTTTAAAAGAGCAGTTCTGAGACAATTTTGGCCTTGTTATAGAGATGGAAGCTGTCCATAACCAAACCCAGGATCCACAGCAAACATCCTTTGAACCCTAGGTGGCAATGCAACAGGCAGTACCCAGGTGTGGTGGACACATGCCTAAGTGTGGAAGCTGTCCACAAGCAGGAAGCCCATCTAGAGCGCCAGCACGAGTGTAGGACAGAGCCTCCCAACATCTTCAGCACAGCAAACCACTTGTACAAAACATTGGGGAGAAAAGACAGGCTGCTTGGGGCTAGGGTGAGGAGGCCAGCTTCGCCAGGGTCCTGAAGACCACCCATGGGCTGGAGAGGATTACTATCTATAATTCATTCCGAGCCAGGTGGGAAAGGGTGGAGAATTCAGTTTGAGTGAGACATGAGGCAGAAGTCTGTGATTTTCTCATTTGTGCTCTTGGAAGACAAATTATGCTATACCTGTTAAAGGACCCATTACTCTTCAAACGGTCTCTGTCTATTACTTCAAGCTCAACGGCAGAGACCACGTCTCCATTCATTTTGGAATCTGCAGCATCACGAGGCAAACTTGTCACCACTGATTTTTCTTTGGTCCTTCCAGCCTCCTCTCCACAGTGAAAACCCTACTTGAGGGACCACTGCTTTCGATATCTAACCACATCATGACAGGGAAGGCCTTTTACAACCAACTTGTCACTATCACTGTCCTGTACCTCCCCAAACATTACTGCAGTGCTGTGGCTTTTCCCTAGCGAATTCAAACGTTTGCCCCCTGCCTCGTCACCGCCACTACCATCCTCCTATCCACAAACTACCCACACAGTTTTGGAAACTAGTCAGCCACCCAAACAGGTCCAACTGCTATACTCCTACCTCCAGTGTTCCTCCCACTCTCTTCTTCCAGCAGTGGTTAAGATGCTGAAGACTGATCCCAGGGCCCAAGGATTCCCAGATCAGTCCCGGATCTGAATTTTTTGTTTTGGTAGATTCATCACTATGCCAGGTGCTTTTGACAGTGTGCTTTGTGCTGAATTTCATTATCTTACCATAAGAGCAAGGAATAGTGCAGCAACAGCAAAGAATCATTGCAAAGTGGTACTTTGGATACCACACACGCTAGGCTAGCACATCATGCACGCACTGTTCCTTCCATGACAGTGGAGATGTGGGGGTGACACCACTCCTCTGGAAAGAGCCTGTGATGGTCACACGCAAACCAAACTGAAGTGAAGAGGCCAAGATGCCAAAAAAGGAATAAAAAGCATCACATAATTGAACAGATGATGGGCTAGTTGCAGTTTAGAACAAGGGGGGGCAAACTTCTCCTATAAAGGGGCAGACAGTAATTACTTAGGCTCTGCAGGCCACGGTCTCTGCCGCAACTAGTCAGCAGCAAACCTCTGTAGCACAAAAGGAGTTAGAGACAACAGGGAAACGAAAAAGTATAGTTGTGTTTCAATCAAACTATTTACAGACAACGAAATTTGAATAATCATTTTCACATTATAAAATTCTTCTTTGTTTAACCATTTAACAATGTAAAGACCATTCTTAGCTCATGGACCACACAACAGGCAGTGAGCCAGCCTGGGCTCATGGGGCTAAACTTTGCCAGTCCCTGGTTTAAAAGAACAAAGCAGACATGGGAGGTCAACTGAGAGGACATGTTGTACCTGAGCCTCATGGCTGGGGAACTCACCAATGTATAGACTGGGTCAGGAAGTACTTACTCCCTGAAACTGCTTGCTTACTTTTGGTTATTTCCTAGCAGTCTTAGGCTGGCTGCTGTAAGACAAGAAGCACAGGAATAATGGGAATTTACTAAAATCTCTAAAAGCCCCCATGAACCCTGATCAAGTATCCCATCTCTGTGTTGATGCTTTGGTTAAGAAAACAAACATCCCAATAAAAGTGACCTACTGCCTGGCCTCCTATATGCTACATTCACCAATTACTGAAAAAACAAATATCGGTGATAGAAGCGTTGTCAACTTTCAATCTCAGATTCCATATGGCAAAATCACTTAAAAAAATGAGAAATGCAATGTTGGATGTATTGAAAATATTTTATAATTAATTCTCTAGAATCCTAGCCATCTAATACAGGAAAAAATTATATGGTGGAACATTTCAGCATTTTTAAACAATGTAAAGACATATTTGACTAGAGGATGGCAATAAGAATTTAACAAATATAAACTTAAGCTTCCTCACATTTTCTATACAGCCACTAAACAATAAAAATATTTCAAGAAATAGAATATCTCAAATGCGAAATTCCAAAGTCAAATAATAGCCACTTACATTAAGAGATTTACCAAAACGGTTTGTAAATTATAACAGCAGAAGGTCACAAAAAGCCTGTTTCTTTCATAGTGTCTTGCTGATTCTTGAAGCAGATAAACAAGGTACTGTAAAGAATGGACAAAACTCGGCCTCAACTGTCTTCCAGTAATTATTAATCCCACTATTTGTAGTTTTGTTGTCCAAAGACAAAAGCTCCATGCCACCAATTCCTGTTGTCACTTCCCAGAGAAAAGAGGCTACTGTTTTTGTTACTTTCCTTTTCACTACGCTCTGGGCAGTCAGGTAGCAGATAAAATGTCATAAAATAAATGAGAGTATTCCATGATCTGACCAGAAATGCCACCCCTCTTCCCAAACTCATTGCTCTGCCTTGAAAGAGAAACATTATTTACACATCCTCATTTTATTCTCCTGAGACACTGTGCATGATCCATTATAAAATATACAGGTAATACAAAGTCCAAAGGCCTGCCGTGTTTATGGAATAAACACATGAAGATTAAACCACATGATAAACACTGTGGGGAGAAATCATGGTTTCATTTATTTTCATAAGAAAGAGGTTACGAGTGCATGATGTAAAAGCTTGAAAGTTGTCACTAAACTGTGCTGAGGATTATTCTGAGAGATTATGCAGGAAGAAATCTGTGCAAATTCATCTTTTTAATTCAGTATCAGAGGATAGGAAAAAAAAACCAGTATTACTTCTTGAAATAGTTTTTGTTCATACTCAGAAAACAACTTTGAAAAACTGAACAGGCAGAAATCTGCCCCCTCTTTATGATCAAATAACAATGTCAACGAAGGAGACTGCAAAGAAAAACTGAGATGAAAACATCCAAACAAAAGCCAACACTGCTATTAAGATTTTTCTTTTAATATGTCATGAGAGATCTTGATTGTATATTTTCCAAAGTACTTTTCCAGCCGCATCTCCCAACCCTTCCAAAAGATTCTGCCAGTCTTTCAAAAGCAATAAAAGATGCTGGATTATATAGTTCTGTCCACTTCTCTTTATGAAAGCAATATAATCCTAATGACTTTGATGGTCATACATTCTTATCTAATAAGGAAAAACATTTACAAATATCAGAAACCCAGTTTTGAAACATCTGCATTAATTTTGAACTGAATCAGCATTCTGTGGGTTTAAAAAAAGGCAGCAGTTTGAACTGACGACTTGCTGAGGAACACGTTTCTGCGGGGGGAAGGGGAGGAGGGAGCGTGAATGCTGCGTTTCTCCATTGGCCCCAAAGTGCTAATCTCACAAAGGGATACATCAAAAGCAAACATGCAAGGGTGGTTTTAAAACTTTTACTGCAATATAACAACGAAGTAAACAGGAATTAGACACCTACCAATTTTCCCCAAAACAAACCAAAAAAATGTAAACAGGAAAATAACTCTGCCTATACTTGTACAGCTTCTCAAATCATGTTAGAAGGGTCTCACCATTCGATGATCAAGAAATTTTAAAATAGCAGTAATTATTTTCATTTTAAGAAAAGGTTCCCCTGCACCCCTCTCCCACCCCAGTATTTAACATGAAAGAATGGGCTTCCTTACACATTAATTTTATACTTATTTGAAGCAGCAACAAAAACCATCAATAATTTGGCATTTCTGTTTACAGTTGCTCCAAAATTTTTTTCAATTTCACAAAGCCATTTATCCAGTGTTGCCATGAAATAGAGCCTGTAGATTCTAGGTAGCAAAGATTCTTTCTGAAACCAATGTTAAGTCAAAGAAATATAAAGCAGGGCATTACACTAAATTTCTGGATCTAGTACACTATAAAGAGTGAAACCTAGGAAAAGTTACCTACTGTTTTATAGAAGAAATAAAGACCTGCAAAAGCTGATTTTTGGTTGTATAGTATTTTACACACTGTGTGGATTTGCGGCATCTGCTAATTGAAGCAGACATGCACTGTATTTATCCCTGCCCTGTATCCTACGTCCCTCCCTCCCCACCCCCAACAATCTACTACCTTATACCAAGTATTGTGGATATGAGCCCAAGTCATCCCAGACAATCCAGTGAACAAAGTTAGTGTAATGCACTGGTGTGAAGTGTGAGATTAAAAAAAAGTCCCTTTCAATCTTCATCAAAGTTTTGCTGTAGAAGAAAATTGGCAGCCAAGTTCTCATTCTTCTCACAAGCAAAATATGCTTGTATCACAAGTCCTTCAGGAAATCCTAAAGCCTTTAACTGGAAGAAAAGAAAGAAAACATATTATGGATTCCAGTATAGCACTACTGACAGATCATCACTTGAAAACATATAAAAGACACAAAAAAGCTCGAGAATTTTACATGAATTCATCTCTACCTGAACATGGATTCATTGTCCAACTCAAGGGGCTGGATGGAACCCAGAACTTTTCCTTTAACAACTACCTACAAAAAAGTCTTTGTTCCCAGTTAAAACTATCAGACTAATAGATACATTGTTAACACTCATTGGCATTAACACTAAAAATTAGTTGCTAATACATTTAAGAAGATTGAAATCATATCTAGTAACTTTTCTACTTACTATAATGCCACGAATCTAGCAATCAGCTACAAGAAAAAAGGCGGAAAAGGAACAAAAATGTGGAGACTAAACATGCCACTGAACAACCAATGGGTCATCGAAGAAGTAAAGGGAGAAATAAAAAAATATTTGGAGACAAACAAGAACAAAAATACACCATACCAACTCTTATGGTATACAGCAAAAGCAGTCCTAAGAGGAAAATTTATAGCAATACAGGCCCATGTTAACAAACAAGAAAAAGCTCAAATAAACAATCTTAAACTACACCTAACAGAATTAGAAAAAGAACAACAAACAAAGCCCAAACTCAGCAGAAGGAGGGAAATAATAAAAATCAGAGCAGAAATAAATGAAATTGAAACAAAAAAGGATCAATGAAACAAAGAGCTGGCTCTTTGAGAGGATAAACAAAACCGACAAACCCTTAGCCAGACTCAGTCAGAAAAAAAGAGGGAAGGCTCAAATAAATAAAATCAGAAATGAAAGAGGAGAAATTACAATGGATACCACAGAAATACAAAAGATTAAAATAGAATATTATGAAAAACTACATACATGCCAACAAACTGGACAATCTAGAAGAAATGGATACATTCTTAGACTCTCACAACCTCCCAAAAGTCAATCAAGAAGAAACAGAGAATCTGAATAGACCAATCCAAGTAAAGAGATTGAAACAGTAATCAAAAACCTCTCCAATAATAAAAGTCCAGGACCAGATGGCTTCTTGGGGGAATTCTTCCAAACATTCAAAGACAATTTATTACCTATGCTTCTCAAACTATTCCAAAAAAACTGAGGAAGACGGAAATACTCCTAACACACTGTAGGAGGCCAACATCACCCTGATTCCAAAACCAGACAAGGACAACACAAAGAAGGAAAACTACAGGCCGATATTGCTGATAAACATAAATGCAAAAATCCTCAACAAAATATTGGCAAACCAAATACAGCAATACATTAAAAAGATCATATACCATGATCAAGTGGCATTCATACCAGGGACACAGGGATGGTTCAACATCCGCAAATCAGTCAATGTGATACACCGTATTAACAAAAGGAGGAACAGAAACCACATGATCATCTCAATAGATGCAGAGAAAGCATTTGACAAGACCCAATATCCGTTCATGATAAAAACTCTCAATAAAATGGATATAGAAGGAAAATACCTCAACATAATAAAGGCCACATATGACAAACCCACTGCCAACATCATACTCAACAGGGACAAACTGAAAGCCATCTCGCTGAGAACAGGAACAAGACAAGGGTGCCCACTCTCACTGCTCTTATTCACATAGTACTGGAAGTTTTGGCCAGAGCAATTAGGCAAGAAAAAGAAATAAAAGGAATCCAAATAGGCAATGAAGAAGTGAAACTCTCACTCTTTGCAGATGACATGATTCTAATATACAGAAAACCGTAAAGAATGCATCAGAAAAAGATTAGAAATAATCAACAACTACAGCAAAGTTGCAGGATACAAAGTCAACTTACAAAAATCAGTGGCATTTCTATACTCTAATAACAAACTAACAGAACAAGAACTCAAGAATACAACTCCATTTACAATCACAACAAAAAGAATAAAATATCCAGGAATAAATTTAACCAAGGAGGTGAAAGATCTATATAAGGAAAACTCTAAGACATTACCGAAGGAAATTGATAATGACATAAAGAGATGGAAAGAGATTCTGTGCACATGGATCAGAAGAATAAACATAGTTAAAATGGCCATACTACCTAAAGCAATCTACAGATTCAGTGCGATCCCAATCAGAATCCCAATGACATTCTTCACAGAAATAGAGCAAAGAATCTTAAAATTCACATGGGGCAACAAAAGACCCCGAATAGCCAAAGCAATCCTGAGAAACAAGAACAAAGCTGGTGGTATCACAATCCCTGACTTCAAAACATATTACAAAGCTATAGTAATCAAAACAGCATGGTACTGGTACAAAAACAGGGACACAGATCAATGGAACAGAACTGAAAGCCTAAAAACAAAACTATGCATCTGGAGACAGCTAATCTTTGACAAAGGGGTCAAGAACATACAATGGAGAAAGTCTCTTCAATAAATGGTGCTGGGAAAACTGGACAGCTACATGCAAAACAATGAAAGTAGATCATTATCTTTCTCCACACACAAAAACAGACTTAAAATGGATCAAGGACTTGAAGGTAAGACCTGAAACCATAAAAATTCTGAAAGAAAATAAAGGTAGTACACTCTTTGACATCAGCTTTAAAAGGATCTTTACAAATATGATGTCCACTCAGACAAGGGAAACAAAAGAAAAAATAAACAAGTGGGACTTCATCAGACTAGAGAGCTACTAGAAGGCAAAGGAAACCAAGATCAAAATGAATAAAATAACCCACCAACTGGGAAAAAATATCTGCAAATCATATGTCTGATAAGGGGTTAATCTCCATAATATATAAAGAACTCACACACCTGAACTACAAAAAAATAACCTGATCAAAAAGTGGTCAGAGGATATGAACAGGCGTTTTTCCAAAGAAGATATACAGATGGCCAATAGACACGTGAAAAGAGGCTCAATATCAGTAATCATCAGGGAAATGCAAATCAAAACTACACTTAGATATCATCTTACGCCCGTTAGAATGGCTATAATCACCAAGACAAAAAATAGTAAATGTTGGAGAGGTTGTGGAGAAAAAGGGAACCCTCATCCATTGTTGGAAGTAACACAAACAGGTACAGCCACTTTGGAAAACAGTATGGAGATTTCTCGAAAAACTAAAAATAGAAATACCATACGACCCAGCTATTCCACTACTGAGTATTTATCCAAAGAAGTTGAAATCAACAATACAGAGACTTACGCACCCCTATGTTCAGTGCAGCATTATTGACAACAGTCAAGATGTGGAAGCAACCCAAGTACTCGTCAACTGATAATTGGATAAAGAAGATGTGGTGTATATATATACAATGGGATACAACTCAGCCATAAAAAAAAGACAAAATCGTCCCATTCACAGCCACATGGGTGGACCTTGAGGGCATTATGTTAAGCGAAATAAGCCAGACAGAGAAAGACAAACACCATATGATTTCACTCATATGTGGAATATAAAAAAACTCATGGACAAAGAGAACAATTTAGTGGTTACGGGGGGGGGGGGGGGGTGTGGGGGCACGCTTACATGGTGTTTGACAAATATTAATGTACAAGTGAAACTTCACAATGTTATAAACTATTTAGACCACAATAAAAAAATTTAAAAGAAACAATTAGTTGTGAACTGTGGTGGTTTAAAAATAAATGACCCTACAGATTGGTAAATCAAATGGCTTTTAGTATATACAAGCGAAGAGAGGGATGACAGCAACTAGAGATGAGTCTTACTACCTCATCTAATTATTTGTAAAGAAAGTCATGTCTGGGGCTGGCCCCATGGCTGAGTGGTTAAGTTCACGCGCTCTGCTTCGGTGGCCTGGGGTTCACCGGTTTGGATCCTGGGCACAGAGCTGGCACCGCTCATCAAGCCATGCTGTGGCAGCATCCCACATAGAAGAATGACCTACAACTGGGATATACAACTATGTACTGGGGCTTTGGGGAGAAAGGAAAAAAAGAGGAAGATTGGCAACAGATGTTAGCTTGGGGCCAATCTTCCTCATTAAAAAAGCATTAAAAAAAAGAAAAAGAACGTCATGTCTTTCGTTAGGGTCAAATATCACTCTCACTCTCTTTTGCCTTATGAAATACTTCAGTCAAGAAAAATAGGTGATCAACTTTTAGTTATATTACATGATCTATTTTGAGATCAAGACATACGGAGTTCTATTCTTAGCTGCTTACTTTTTATAGTATTTTAAATGGTGATACCAACTCAATTTCATTTTCCTAGTCTCCTAAAAATCACTTCTGACTCAATAATCGCTGCTTTTAAAAGACTTCAGACATTCAGAACATTCAGGTCAATTACCTCACTCATTAAATCCTATATACTTGTCAGCCAAATGTGATTTATGAACCTCCTCCTCAATTGTTTCAATCACCCTGCGTTAGACTCTATCAAGAAATGACCTAAAAAACTGGGCAAAAGTCCCAATTCAGCATGATTAACTATTCACCCATGAAAGAAGAAAATCAAAAATGATTTTGTTACCTAGGTCTTGTCCAAATTAAAGGTGGCCTAGCTCAAGTAAAAGGCAGATAAGAGCAGGATGCAACTATATGCTTCTACAAGACACACACACTTTAGGTTCAAGGACACAAACATACTGAAAATGAAAGGATGAAAAGAGATATATACCACGCAAACAGTTACAACAAGAAAGCTGGAGTGGCTTTATTAATACCAGACAAGACAGACTAAGACAAAAATTGCTCCTAAAAACAAAGGACATTTTACGATGATAAAACATCAGGAAGACTTCATTATAAACACATGTAACAACAAACCTGAACTCCCAAAATACATGACACAAAAATGGAAAGAATCAAAGGGAGAAACAGACTGTTCCACAATAACACTTGGAGACCTCAATATCCCCATATTCACTAACGGATACAAGAACCAGGCAGACACTGACAGGAAAACAGAAGATGTGAACAACACTATAAACCAACTAGACCTAACAGACATTTACAGAACACTTCACAGCAGCACAT